CAATTTCTCAGGTCTTGGGAAACATTATGACAAACATACACAGAACCTGAAATTATGATACTTTGTATAGCTTCTGTCTCACATATCATTTTGTTTCACATTCTTTGCTCTCAGTTCACACTTGAGGTACATCAAGAGTCAGCGCTGCAATTTCACTCCTAACTGTCAGGATGCTCCATCAAATTATAGCTATTATTCCCAGGATTATCCTATCCTGGAACCGCAAAAACATAATTGTTCCTAATACTCACACTGTGATTAATAAGAATTTTTTTTATATTCTTCTACTCCACAAGAAGTTATGCATCTTGAAAAATACTGGAACTCTGTCTAGAATTTTGACTGGCAGTGAAGGGACACCAAACACATCATATATCTCACATTTAAAAAACCTTATTGACATGGCACCAAGTCATGCTGACCAACATTATGTATTTATGTGGTATGTCTAAGAATTACGTTCTTACATATTTTAAGGAATTTTAAAAACATTGTTGTTCCATTCTATAAACAACCATGGAAATACAATATTCTACAGGAGGGAAGAAACCCCAAAACATGTTTTATACAAGCAAACTATAAAACATGGATATTGTTTTATATCTAAAGAACTATAATATTTAACTGTCTTCATTTGATGACAACTGATGAAAAGTTAAAAGTCAAAGAATGAAAGAATCAAACATTTGTTTTCCACACTCGAGAATCCCTGTAGAACAAAATATACGTATACAAGGAACACCTAGAGCAACAAAACAGGATGTTTTCAAGAAATTAGCCTACATTTAAATCTATTTCTGTATTAACCAGCAACAGAAGTATTTTTCAGATATAAATACAGAGGCAGTGTAGATTTCACAGCCTTGTGCATTACTGGAAGTCACACATATGCAAAACATCACATGAAAAAAGAGCATCCATTAGTTTGCACCTAACCACCCAGCAAAGCTGGAAGCAGCAGAACTCTGCTGTTGTGCAAAAAGAGACACTCTGGTGCTTAGGGAAGCATCTTAGCTATTGCTGAATGACAGAACCTTCATGGAGAAATTCCCATTGCTGGAAAGCCGAAATAATGAGCTCCTCTCCTCTCTTGACCTCTCTGCTGCAGCGTGCAAAGGGTACACTTGAACAGTTAACAACTAGCTCTCCTCAGGCAGAACAACACAACTCTAAGCCACACAGTTATAGGAAGAATCACGCAATCACAACCACTCCCCTTGTCACTCTCTGACTCAAATGCTGCTTCTCCCCCCTTAAAAAATTCCATACTATGGTTAAAACTTACTGGTATTTTTGTACATTTGGGCTGCCATTAATTTGGACACTCCAGACTTTAACAATGGTATGCCAACTTCCATGGTGATGAATCTTAGTAGCAGTAATCGTATTAGTAAAAATAATATAGAATAATAACAAAGCAGCCAATTTAAGAGTGTGTCAATGCTGAAGATACAGGACTGAATGCACGCTTCTGAAAGTAAAGGCATTTCCATTTGGCTATTTTTAAATCAGGTGAAATCAAGCAAGGAGCAGACAATTGCTGGCCTCTGTTTAGTACAGTGTAATCACCCAACTATTCATCTTGGTTATATTTCCCATACTGCAATAATGTTCGCATCCCATCTAGCTTATCACCACTCCTACCTTTAATGCTTTTTTTTTCTCTTTCTAAATGTGTTTAGAAAACTTGCACACATCCAAAAATACATTCATACTTCCCCTTAACTCACTTCCAGAGTCTCAACTTCCGCCCTTACCCAAACAAGGAACACTAATACCATTTTATTTCATAGTCTATGCATAATGCTATTTATCCCTTATTCTCATATATTCATTTCCCTTAAAGGATAAATGGTACAGCATTTTGAAATAGAATGGTGTTACCTCTTTTTTCCGACTTTTTCTGAGACTTGGATTCTATAAAGTTTGCTCCTAAGTATCAACTAAGACTTAAATATTCTTGCAGTGGATTCTTGTAACTCCAAGGCATCAGAGAAATGTTTTGTGAAAAGCAAACAAACACCAAAGATATCATTGACTTCCACTTCATTTTGATTCCAAATCTGTAATAGGTTGGGTATATTTTCAATTCAAAATCTGAGAGTCAGACCAACATTAAAGAGGTATTAAAGCAAGGAAGAACCCATAAAGAAAACTTTTAATTATCAAGAGAAAAAAAATCTTTTTGGTTGCATTCAGCAGGAAATTGTTGGAAAAAGATGCTGGCCGTTCCAATTTTGTCACACTACAGATACTGTTGCAAAAAACGTACCATCATGCAATACATCATGTTCTACCAAGACACTGCTTCCATAAAAATACACACTGCCAACACTCTATCAAAACTTGCATTTCAGAGCAAATCGTTATTATGTTTCCTATTTCAGGGCAGCATTTTGTATAATTACTACCAGAATACCATTCAAACAGCTATGCTATTGTATTAAACCATCTACAGCAGAGCATTTTAGCCCAGCCTTGTATTAAAAAAAAAAAAAAAAACAAATAACATGATCCTCTTCATTAGAAAAGAGAGGGTTATTTGAAGTAAGACAAAAATCACAAAAGAGGAGATGGTGACAAAAATCTGCCACCTGCTCTGCATACGATGCAGACCTAAAAACAATTACTGAAAAATTTACTGTCACTATAAAAATAGTACCAACAGCCCAATAAGATAAGGAAGGGCTATTAATCTTTCTACGATTAGATGCACTAAGTGTGTGTGTGCGTGTGTATATATATATGTATGTTCTTGGATATAAATACTTCAGCACTTTAAATCCACAATAATATTCACTTTAATTGAGGTAAGACTAAGCAGAGCTACTGCACTATCTGAGCTTTCCTTTCCAAAACAAACTGCCCCCAACAGCCAACCTTAGCCTGCTTTGGTACATCAGACCCTTGCTGTAGGAACTTTCCCAAGGTCACAGAGTTAGTCAGCAACATAACAAGCCTGTGACCCCAAATCCTGGCAAGACCTCGCTGCCTCTCAGCAGGCAGTCCGGAAGGAAGATACTCTGCACTTCACTACCCATCTTCTGGCTCACCCAGCACTTCTCACACAGCCTAAAACTGCGTCAAACAACATTCACTACTACAAGCAGAGAGACAAAATATAGAATTACACATTAGTATAAAGCCTCAAATATTAATTGCATATATAAAAGGATTGCTAAAACACTAAATCAACGTTAAGAACTAGACTTTTTGTTAATTTGTGTTCCTGTACTGCCACCTAAAGATCAGAGTGAAAAACAGGAACAGTAGTGGACAATGTGACTGCTATCTGTAGTCCTGGAAGAGAACAGTAACGTTTTTCTGATACCTCACTTTGAAAAAAGACCACACCAGATTCAAGCAGATCAATGAAACAGTTCTATTTCACATCACAGTTTAGCAGTACTTTACTAATTGCCTAATTTCTATACATTAAAAAAAAAAAAAGGTATCTCTGTATGGATGTACATATATTCTTTAATTAGATAAATGTCAGCTTGCCAGCTTGGACAATCTTGATCTATAAACTCTGTATAGCCACAGTATATTTTGCAAAGGAAGACAGATTGGTGGAGATATACTTTTGACTTCCTTATTTACCTTTCTTACTTTAACTGCTACCACTATATAGAAAAAACAAACCAAAACCACAAATTAATAACCTCTCATGATACAACAAGCTGGTAATACCATTATTTCTCCCAACAAAACATGCCCTGGCTAGACATCTACATCCAGATTCACTTTTATTCCACCTGTTGTTGCACTCAGCCTGTCTTCTGAAGTCTGCAGCCTCTCAGAACTTCAAGCAGAAAATGTTCAGTCACCACCCCGAAGGACTCTGATGTCACGAGTCAGACATCACAGACATAATAGCCAAAAATCTTTTGAGTTTGGTGCGTATTTGGGTTTTTTTTTTGAGGAACTTTTGTTGGATTTTTGCTTTGGTTGGGGTTTTTTTTCAATATGTTGAAGACGCAAGGTGCCTCTTATAAGATGCAAGCATCACCTGGAATACATTGTCAGATTTTATTTTGATTAAATGAGAAATATTCTCATGCCTGTAAAAGACATGAAGCAAATCACCTGGACTGTTTCAACAAATGAAACTTCAAATACCTTCAAAAACCACAAAAAACACCCAAACAAAAATCAAACCAAAGCAAAAACCTAAAAAAGAAAAGTTAGTAGTATCGAACTTTCTCTTGTCTCTCTTCTTCACGTCTTGGCAATTATACAAGGGTTTGGCTCATCTAGCAGAATGTTTCAGGTATTAATATACAGATGTTCTTTTAACAGCTCTGCCATAATCCAGCTTGCAGGGAAACTGCTCAAGGTTAAAAAACATTTTTGCTTGTTTCCTTCTAAACAAACACAGAAAGTCACTATGCGCTTGTCGGTTTCCACCGGTAAGGATTTGCGGGAGGAAGGCAGGCAGGCATTTATTTACGGCATGTCTGAAAGCCACGTGCGCTTTACAGGATAACCCAGACACGGAGCTCTGAAGGCGGGCGCCTCCTGAGCTCTGCGAGCCGCCGGGCGCAGCTCCCTCTGCCCCGCCGGACTCGGGGGTCCCCGAGCGGAGGCCGGACCCTCCCACCACCGCCAAACTGCGCGGAGCAGCGGCACCGCACCGAGCCACGCCGGCACCGCCGCCTCCTGCCAGCCCGGGAAACCGCCCGGGAACAGCAGCGCCCGGCAAGAGACGACAACTTCAAAAACGCAGTTTAAAAAAAAAAAAAAAAAAAAAAAAAAAAAGCCCCCAGTTAAAAACAGCGGCAGGAAGCGGCAAGCCCCGCACCTCAGCCCCGGCAGCACATAGCCGCAGAGCCTGGCACGGGCGGCTCCGCTCCGGAGCACGCTCCCCATTCCACTCTGCCCCGCCCGCCCCAGCCAGCTCCTCTGAGGGCGCGGGCTGCCAGCCCGCAGGCACGGCGCGGCCCCGCCCCGGCGGAAGGGGCGGCGCTGGCTGCGGAGCGCCGCGTTCCCGCCGGTACCTGCGCAGGCAGCGCTCGCACACGCTGCCCAGCTGCTGCTTGGTGAGGACGTAGGCGAAGGGCACGTCGCTGTAGAGCAGCTCTCCGGGCCGCACGCTGCGGCGGGAGCGGAGGCCGCTGCCCTTGCCAGGGCTGTGGAACCGCTCCAGCGCCGCCGGCTCCATCCTGCCGCGCGCGCCGCCGCCGGAGAGGAGAGCGCGGGCGCCCCGCCCGCCTGCACGTGACCGGGCGCGGCCGCCGCCATCTTAAATCAGGGCAAGGCCGGGGGCGGGGACGGGCCCCGCGGCGGGCCAGAGCCGGGCCCGCAGTCATGGATCGCGGCAGTGCGGCACACGCGTGTCCTGGGCCAGCGCAGCCCTTTGCCTGGAGAGGCAGCTGATAATACATATCACAGAATCCCAGAGTGGGTCAGGTTAAAAGGGACTACGGTGCGTCATCTGGTGGAACGGCGCTGCTCAAGCAGGGCCATTCCAGAGCGCATTGCACAGGACTGTATCCAGAGGGATCTTGAATATTTCCAGTCAGGGGGACTCCACAGCCTCTCTGGACTATCTGCTCCAGTGCTCAGTCACCTACACAGTAATGAAGCTTTTCTTCATGTTCAGGTGGAACTTCCTGTGCATCAGTTTCTGCCCGTTGCCTCCTGTCCTACTGTCGGCACCACTGAGCACAGCCTGGCTCCATCCTCCTGGCACCCTCACTTTAGATATTTACGCCCAAAATATTAAATAGTTTGGTTTACAAAGGAAGGGATGTGATAATGATTCAGTCAAAAGACATCCCCGAAAAGGCCATTATATTTTTGAGCTGGCATCTGGGTGTATTTCTGGATCTCACTGTGATCTGAATGCAAAGAAATGTGACTGGGCCAGTAGCTGCACCTATGCTCTGATGGTATTTCTCACTGAGAATGCACCCGATACACCAGATACTTTTTGTCAAAACCATGAGTCAGATAAAAATGGCAATAGAAAAAGCAAGACTCTTGCAGAATTAAATAAGAGTATTAATCTGAAATGTTGGTGCTCAAAGCCCGTGAAATAAGTGCTTTCTGTATGGATCTGCATAATGTTCATTCATTTACGAGATTACACTCGTGATGCAGGCTAAATGTGCTAAACTGCAGATCGACTTTGGTTTTCCTCATCAGGCCTATAGAGGGAGGTAGGGCTTGTGTTTTGGAAAGGAGTGTTGATTCGTGCTGTCAAAGAACACTGAGACATAGACCTTACAGTTCTGCCAAGCAGCTGTGCTAAAACCACTCTGTTTTGTTCTCAGTAACTATTATTTCAGTCTGCAATTATTTTCATCCAAGTTGCAACAAGGTGATAAGGAATGGCAATATGCATATCTAAAACACTGCTATTAGGAAGAACCAAGGTACATAAAGCCAGAGGATTCTCACAGAAAAATATATTTTGACATTTGCTTAATGATGCAATGATGTAATTCATTACCAAAAGAACTGACAGCAGTCTAGCTGTTAGTGAAATCATTATGAATGTTACTATGCTTATCTTTATCTCTTCTAGCAAATTTTTAAAATGTGTTCAATTACAGTGATACTGTGACTTTCTCAAAAATTAACCTTATTAGCTATTAAAATATCAGGCAATTACCTCTTTATTTGGCCTGTATGCTTTACTTCTTCACCCATTAAATGTTCTGCATTTTCCTGTCTATGCTGTTTTAGTTTCTAAGCACGCATCACCCAAAACCTGTATGAAAAACAAGCCCGATAATAACAGAAGTTAACATCTGCCTCTCTTAGTGGATAAATTTAAGAAATGAATGGTCAAACAAAAAGCCTGAACCTAAAGGCCTACCCATGAACTGCAAAAAGTGCACTCGGGGAAGAGCCAATATAAATATATAATACCACATGTAATTTTCATTATTTTATCTTTTTTTTTTCTTGGCAGGTTTTCTCACTTATATGTCCAGTAACACAAAAAAAACCTTGCAAAGTTTTGCAAAACACATCTGAGGGAATGCCAGTCTTCTGTCTCACTGACAAACAAAATTAAATAACATCACAACCTTGAAGAGCCCAGCTACTCTAGAAAGATCTGAAGTATGTATATCTGAAGAAAGGGACTTCCATCAGCTTGGCATAAGCTGTACAGGAAGTAAGCCACACAAACTTGAAAACAGCTTTTAGTTGACATTGCATTTCAAGTGATATGAAAACATAATTGCAGTAATTTTCTGTATAGATAAGCTTTCAACTCAGCATTGAACATTTTAATGTAGTGTTGGATATTTGGGCATCTGTGTGAAGGGCCTGAAGAACTGATTCTGGATATCTACGTCTACAGGTTAGTGACAAATCTGCCTAGGAGGGCCATTCAACAGTCTTTGAGCAATGGTGATCAATGGAATGCCCAGCTTGGATAAGTTGTTTTTGGAATCATCAGTCAGAATTTTCTCGAAAGCATAATGATAGTAAGGCTATATATCCTAGTAAGTAAGTGCTTATTTAGCCCAAGAATATATTTAGTTGAATTTAATCCCTGTTATCAGCACGGTATTTTAATATGACCAAGTCACACACAGACTTAAACAGGTCAGACTTCTCAGCAGCTGTTTGAAGTGCATGACACATTCTGGACGGAAGAAGCTGTCAGGGAGTGTAATGAGGGCAGTTTTGTAGGAAATATCACTTAATTGTGGCTGATGCTGCTGAATTAGTCATACATCCTTACTGCCAGGAGACACCGTCATGGAGCTTTAGCTTTCTATCTCAGGACTGCATGTTTTACATTAATCTAGAGAAACAGCTGCAGTAATGAAATAATTCAAATTCTGCTCCTTACTCATAAATGTGCAGTAGCCATTCCAAACAACACAGCACAAAATGGATTTATTTTTTTCTGGGAGCAAAATATGGTTCAAAACACAAAATGTTAAATTTTGGATTGTACAAAATCTGTGTCACAGCATAGAGTAGCTATCAATTAGTTGAAAGCTTGTAAGTACAGACAAATCTTTTATGAACACATATCTCTTGAAGAGGTCTCATACTTTCAGTGTTGGTGTGCTAGTGAAAAATCTATTCTAGAATGTTAAATTAAAAATCACTGCAGAAGCATTTTAAGCACAAATTCATAATTTTTAAGTGTTTTAAGGACATAATTCATTCACATAGATTTTATCTGTTGTTTTTTTTACTGGGAAATTTACCAAACCATTCTACTTTATTTGTATCTTCCCTGCCCCAAACATGCCAATTTCCTTCAAATGACAGAAGCAAGCTCAGGAAGTTCTGAGCTGTTTGTTTATTTGGGGTTGTATCAATAGGATCAACCACATCAGTGCTTAGAGACTTACATTATGAGTAATCGACTGTTTCATTTGGTGTATCTTAACTATTCCTAATTTCCCTTGGGCTTCCTGTGCTTGCTGCATGTTGTGTTCTATCTGCTGGGGACAGTCAGTGTGCCTATTTTTAGTAGTGACAAGTTACACAGCCCACACAAGGAAAGATGCAATAGCTGTTAAACAAGGATATAATGTGAGCGAACATCTCCCTCTGACTTCCTGGAAAAGTTACTTGTTATTTCCTTATTCTCGATGTTTACAGAAGAAAGGTATAGCTTTGCTAATTAATGTCTTACAAAGCTCAGGTCATAGTTTTCAATCTACAGCCTAACAGATTGTGTTCAGTCTGACAAAACAATTAATTCAACATGCTTCTCAGGAAGCCTCAGTTTCTTCCCATCACATTTGCACATCCTAAACTATACCACACAATCTGTTTCTCAAGTTTTGTGTTGATATTTCCGTCAACATTATCATTAGCCTGCAAGGCTGAGCTCTGATTATTAAAATGTCCAATGCTGAACAGGTTTACAGCCAGTACAGACACATTCCATCGTAACAACCCCTTATCACAGCATCTACTGGATTAATTACTGCAAGGTCACAAACCCTTCTTCTAGATCAAAACTGACTATAGAGTTCAACTTAACTGACCTAATTCCAAGTGGCAAAATTTCTCATTAACTGGACCAAGTTTGTTTCTGTCTCTATTTGGCTTTGTTATGATTTAAATATAGGTAAGTAGGAAGAGCTTAGGCAATTTCTAGCACAGTCATAATTTTTTTTTTCCCAGACAGATGGCACAAGTGATGAGGGCCACTAGAAAAGACTTGGCATCTCTAAAGTTACAATCAATATATCAGCTGTGATATACTGGTGCTTTAACAGGGAGTGCCAAACACCATTTTTGGGCAGCTCCTCAAAATAATTGGAAGAGCATGAGCAACATTTAAAAGTGTTCTACTAGATAGTGCGTCACATGTAGTTCATGTTTCAGAGGTTCACGTATTAAAACAGTCTTGAGGAAAAAAAAGAGTTATGAAAAGAATACAAATAGTACAGCATTGGTTAAAAATGGTAACAGAAATGTATGACAAGCCTTTATGTACAATTTAAAATTTGAAATTGAAGTGAAAGTTTAACATTATCCTACAAAAGCTAAAATCCTGCAACAGTAGGAATTACTGAGTGAATAGCATCAATTAATCAAGTATATAGACCTACTTAATTTTCACTTCCTGTGTATTTATTCATATACAATAGTCATTTTCAATCTTTTCCATGAATACTAAAATAATTTTTATAATGGCAGGCATTTCTATCTCTATTTCACATTTGTGATCCGGGCTAAACATTGCTTACTCTTAGCCTTAATGGTGTGTTTCTGTTGAGCATTAAATCTCATTTCAAGTCCCCAGTTATGCAATATTCCTTCCACTTACAGACTCCTGCTGTTAGTCTCTGCATTGGATCATTAAGTGCTGCTTTGCAACAGCATGAAAATAAAACAAATTTCTTTTTCTCAGTTTGTGTTTGAAATGTTATCAGCACACAGTTGAAGAAATTTATTTAGGCAGTGGTGGTCTTACATTTCATGTATAGAATACTTCTGGTATGTTGGAGGTGTAAGACATCTTGCTGCAACAAGAGCAAGGTGTTTTGATTCAAGGTGAGGTGGTGAACCAGGCCAAGAGACAGAGCAGCCTTGCAGAACAGCAAATAAGACAGATACCATCTAATGAGACTGGAAAAGGTGGAATTCCTTCTGTTAATGCAATGTTGCCATTCACTGACAGTTAACTATGACTGTCTCTGAAACAGTCAGAGATGTAAGCAGAAAGGAAGCCTCAAATCTTCACAACCTGCACCAGAACACCAGCA